ATTCATTCATTCATTCATTCATTCATTCATTCATTTATACATCACATTTATATAGCCACCCATCTCTCAAAGCGATCATCTTTGATCATCACTCAAAAAGAATCAAGCAGGATCAGTTCTTAAACAACAAGGCTGCCATACCTCTGACAAACAGAAATGCACTATATTCATTCACTCCTCCTCTGGAAATTATGCGCAGGGTATATAAACCTTCGTCATCCTTGTGCAAATGAGGGAAAGACAGCACAGCTTGACCTTCACTAAAGTATGGTTTTGTCCACTTGGTTTCTTTTATTAGCACATCTGGAAGACAGATTTAGTTTGCAATTCAACACATGTTAATAAGATAGCAGTAATAACGATGTATTCTGCACTGCAATCTCCAAATCAGCCATTTTAGAGCAAATATATGTAGAAGAAGCTGTCATGCTTCAGATAGATGATATTTCTAATAACACACAAGTACACGTGGCCTAGTGTTGTACTGTTCCATGCCAGTCCTCAGACATGGTGAGTGGGCCACTAATCTGTTGAATGTTAACTTATCTGAAATTCTCCAATTTGGGGGGGAAAAAACCTCTATTGAAGCCATGTCATGAAAACCTCATCAAGCATATGTTTCAGCCAACATTAAATCCTTCAAAATTCTATTGACTAACAGACATGGGATAAATCACACATTTTTTCTTCCACTGAAGTCAACAGGATTTAAATATGTTTATTTTGGGTTAGACTGAAGCCAGAATCAGGAATTATTCCTCTATGCACTTTTGATCCTTTTTAATAAACTTTGCTAACTGAGGTATGTGTCACATTAAACCTGGAAAGAGGAAGGAAAAATGACTTAAAGCCAGAGTCAGGTTTAATCTGAGGCTTCTTATAAATACACACTTAATTTGAAATCTTTGGGGCATTCCTGTCCAATAGTTTGTGTTTCTCACAGGTGAGAGGTTACAACTCAATATTAACATAAATTAATCTAATTGACTAGTGCAATGGAGCAATGAAACATATAGAATGCTTTAACTCAGCGAAAGAAATCCCTACCTATTTAGTTTTGACCTATTACCTTACTAATTGATCAGGTAATTGTGTTTGGACTTTGGTGGAGGTGGGGCTTTGATCTTCAACAGCTGTTTTGCATAGATGCCCACTAATCAATGAGCCTTAAAATTCCATTTCCAAGCTCTGCAGAAATATTTCAGTCATACTGAAAGAAATATGCAGAACTGTTCAAGAAATATAAATAGGTCATTTAGATAAATGAGATGGTTAGATAGCATCACTGAAACAATGAGCATGAAACTGAGCAAACTCAGGGAGGCAGTGAA